TTTAAAAAAAAAGCATGTTTACATAAACTTGATGATCACGGGTGTGACATCTATACAGTAGATACATTAAAATACGCGTGTATTGGAATACATCCTCCTCTGTCCACTGTTCGAACCCATTCCTACTCTTCTCTCCTCAACCCAACCAACCCACTCCTCATTTATCTGCAATTCTCCAGTTTTCACCTCAGCACAAATCCCACTCTCATCTAACCACTATCACCCTACTCCTCCACTCTTTTGTTCTGATCTATATGTACTAACCCCTGTCTCTCTGATCTGTTACTCTACTCTTGCTCTTTCGCCACCTGATTTAAATGACTCTGCGGGTACCGCGGCCGATCGGTAGTAAATCTGGGAAAGCAGAGTCGGGGCCACTGTGTCGCCATTATAGCATGGTTAGGCTAGGTTAAGGTTAGAAGTACTTTGTGCAAATCAAGGATTTTGACTAACCATTAAAACTTTACTTTCACCAGGCATCATTGCTAATCCACGAATCATGTTACCTCCATCATCATGTCAGTAAGACTTAAAATAATGTTCGATGAACCTTACAAACGTGATGAAACCCTGATTCCCGAAGTTCTTGGCACCCATGTTGAAGTTTGACCTGTTGAAACTTATCTTACTATCAACGGTGCAATAGTTCTGCTTTCAACTGATGATGACCTTCAGAAAATCCTACACCCTTACAAAGCGTCTGCTCTCCATGCAGCGTGTGTTATTCCCGTTGCTACTGGCAAATTCCAAGCGGGAAGGATTATGCTTGTGTCGCGATTCAATCGCCACATATCCAGGGATCACAACGACGAAGAAATACTTAAAGAAATCAATAGAGTCAATGAGCAACACGCTACATAAATACACAGAATCACCAAAAAAGGCAACCCACGCCCTCTCTAAAGCTAACGTTGGCTACTACTGCCCATGCTATCCAGGTGATTGATCAGGAATTTAAATGCTTTGGGTACATATCAACACCTGAACAAATCTCAAGAGAACCTTTCACTGATATTAAGCAATGCTTTCGGTGCTTCAGTTTCGATCACGTTGTTAACAAGTTTCCTGCAACAACAAGCACTTGTAGTATTTGTGCTGAGCACCATAAATTTAGGGATTGTCCACAACCTGCCAGTCTAAAATGTGCCCTTTGTGAAGGTGGACATTTAGCAGTATCTCCTGTGTGTGTCCGAAGCGGAAAGCAGCGATACAGAAAATCCTTGACAATGCCCAAACCTCACGACATAACCAATCGCAAGCGACACTAAATATGAATGCCGCAACAGTCATCACTTGCCCGGGTCAAAGAACAACCCCAAACAAGGCTTCCCAGCAGACATCCTTACCTAACTAGCCTGATGCTTGGGTGGGCCAAATTCAACCAACAACGTTAGTGTCTCAGGTGCCTTTTGCATCTTCTGATGCTTTGGTACATGTGCAGGTTCTCATAGCAACTGCAGCAAAATTCGCACGCAATAACCCCTACTTATTTGCCACCACCACAATCAATAGGCTAGTAATGGCAAACAATCTACTTACAGTCGCAGATGATGCATTCTTATCCAACTCAAAACTACCATTGCCAATATAGTAACTACACCAGCAATCCCCGGTCTCTGAGCCCACAACAAATGGCCGACCAACGCCATGCAATATACGGCAAACTCACCTGTCCTACCCACCACCTCACAAGTTCCAAGATCAAACCACCTCTCTCAGAATCCCCATCTCAACGCGGCAGAGGGAGGTAACCGTTCCTCCTCACATCTGGAAGGGATTGGGTATCACTATCATGGTAAACCCGAACAGCCAGTCAATTCACGTATCATTCCTACCTCACCTGTCCCCTTCTGATCACTCCTCCTCAATAAGCGAGTCTCTTGACATCCACGTTGAAGACTCAGAAGAGGAGCCTTCCCTACAACAAGAGGCGCCCACTGTGACACTCCCAGCCCAGGTCGTTCACCTACAAGCAGATCCACAAGTGACCACTGCAATATTAAAAGACATACGAACCTCGGAAGATGTAGATGGAGATGTAGATGAAGATGAAGATGAAGATGAAGATGAAGAACATGAAGATGAAACAGAGGAGAAAGATGAAGCAGAGGAGGAAAACGAAGAAGAGGAAGAAGCAGAGTGCAATCAGGGGGCAGGGAAAGCACTCCGGTTGTGGGGGATGAAATCTGAGGAGACAGCTCAGGGAAAAAGCCACCAAATGAACTAGCCTGGAAGGTCGCCATTCGAAATTAGACAATCGAGCATCAGATAATGGAGATTACAATTATGCAACTTAACATATGGCACTTCTTCAACAACAAATATCTACTAGAACTGGAAGTATGCATCTATCACAATGAAGTCATCTTGTTAAAGGGACCTCTGCACACCTAGACTAACACATCAAATTCTATGGTTAAACGACTATTAAAAGGAACTCTGGGCAGAATAGAAATGTTGTGGTGCTCTTCAAGCTGGGCTGCTCCTTCACCAACATCAACGTCAAAGAAGAAAATACCCTAGCAGTGGAAACAATCACAAACCATGGCCCATTTGCTATTTTAACAACATCTCCACAGACCAGCACTCTATCCCTTCGAGTGCTGGGGACTTTAATGCACACCATGCAGCATTTTTCAACGACACCAACGGAGGAGATGACATCAAAGGTCGACTCCTATATATCCTCATGACTGCGATGAACTGAACTTCCTTGGGTCCCTACCTCAAAACCATCGTAGGTAACCGCCAAAGAAATCCTGATATTATACTGAAAAACATTGAATGCAATATATTTCAGAGTAGAATTCTCCCAGGTAATGATGTGGGATCGGATCACATACTTGTTATTCTCCACCTCCAAGCATCTCCCTTTAGAATTTTGGGACGTCCTAGACCCAAACTAAACACGCTTCGACTTCGCTCATGTATGGAGTTATTTGGCACTGATCCAACCGCAGATCTTAACAACCATTCGGTCCAGGACATTGACGCAGTAATTGCCTCATACACGCTCGTATCACTGAAGCAACTCTGGCCAATTGTGACCTAACACCAGAATAATTCAGCAATGCAAACCGACCAGAGAGATCAAGGATAAAATGAGGAATTACCAGCAAGAATGTGTGAGGCGCCTACACACAGGCCAGACATCTCTCCCAATCATTGAGGCCCTCTGACGTAATGTCGTAGGCTTCACGCTCCTACTCAAACGTCATATTTGGGGTACACTAGTTAACCAAGCTAACCAGTACAGGAGAAAAAATGCCAGATTCTGGAGGAAGATCAAACAAGCCCCTAGGATCGTCAAAGACAACACTTTCGCACCTCTGTTATACATGTACTGATGACAAGAACGGGGTAATAAACTACCACAGTGGAAGATGCACAGCTGCAGGCTATTCTCATGGGATTAGTTTGGGAGGAGATTTTTACAGAAAACAACAACCAAATCAACAATGACAACATTGTACAGTCGGCCAATTGGTTGCTGAAAATGAGGAGAACCTGTCTAGCAGGCCTCTAGTGGACACCGCACACCTCGACGCTGACCACCCGATCAACCGACCCATCACCTGGCTGGAGCTGACAAAAGTACTGAAAAAAACGAGGAACGAGGCGCAAGACTTGTCAGGAATAACAGCCAACTAACTGAAGATTCTACTTCTCAACTACCTGCAGTCCCTACTCAATGTCTTCAACGCCATACTTGTCTCAGGCCACTTCCCGTAAGTATTTAAAACTGCCAAATGATCATTATTCCGGAGCCAGGGAATAACAGACATGTCCCCGGAAACTATAGGCCTATCTCCCTGTTGGAGTTGACAGGAAAATACTTTGAGAAAATACTTTCAAATTGAATTAACTACTAAATGGAGTACCACCACCAGCGTACTGAAAAACAGTTTGGTTTTAGGAACAACAAATCAACACTACATGCCATCAATATCTTTTATGACGCACCAGACGGTATAAGAAAACAGCGCCAGACAGCATTAATAGCAACTACAGATGTCAACAAGGCCTTTGACAGTTTATGGCATAATGGTTCGCTCTTCAAGCTGCAGTCCATGCCACGCCACAACTGGATTCTCCTAAGACTAGTAAAAAAATTCTATGCAATAGAACAATAATTCCAATGTATAACAACAAGGAAGCTGAAGCCTTTACCTCGTCAGCAAGAGTTCTTCAGGAATCGTGCATCAGCCCACTCCTCTTCAATCTCTTTGTAAATGATTTGCCACTTCCCATTTATAATGACACTATTATCACTCAAGGACAACCACAGGTCAATACATCATTTTCATAAATTACCAGCCGACCACCTTCGACTTACCGTAGAATATCGTCGAGGCTCTTCCACGATACTACTGGGTATCGTGGGATTTCTGTCAGGTTCGTCCTTGACGCACAATCGAGAATTCTGTGTTAGAATTCCGGAAAGGACAGAAATAGTTGGGCACATTACCTTTCACCTAATGCCTTTGGTCCATGTGGGTGCCCAAGACGGAATTAAGGACAGCCAACAGGATGTCCCCGGCATGAGGAGCTTACACAGTTAGAAGACGCGCTTGTTCTTAGCGAGGTGTGCAACAGGCGGCGATACAACCAATACGGCAATACCTTTACTTCCAATAAAATTGTTCTACAAAACTTCTTCTCCACGACCTACGAAGCGGACGAAAGAGCCCTAAGAGATATCATTGAGAGGAAGTTACCCCAACTGACGTCAACCAAAATATAAAACTAACAATATATTATAAGAGTAAGAAAACTGCTAACCTGCTAATGAAGAATTCTTCTGATACCAAGAAAACTCGTTGAACGAGACCAACGTTGTTTACACCTTTACATGCCCTACTTGGGGATTGTCGGCCCCAACGAACTCAGAGACAACAACGACTCTCTTTAGGTGATGAACAATTCACAAACATATAATCGCCACAAAGCCAATTTCCGACAGATGTCAGTGACCATTCAGGGCACAGGTCTTTTATCAAATCACTTCATCATGCTGGGGATACATGAGAAACATTTGTGCGCAATGCTTGATTCCCACTGTTTCATTTTGTGCGTCAAGCGTCATGATGATGGACAGAGTGTATCGTGATCCGGCTTTTACTCCTCTAGACATACCTGAGACCATACTGATGAAGTTACTCGAAGCTTGTACTAAAGAAGCTCCCTTCTTGAGTGCCAATACGCACATGTAAAAATAAGTGGATAGGGTCGATCTTCCCTCGAATTCACTGTCGAGAGAAGTTGAAAAATTAACTCTACAAAGTTTATTTAAACACTTTATTATAGTCTGATGCCTAGGGATAAAATTTGCAAGGTACACTTTACATTTTCAAAAGCAATTTTAACGTTTTTAACATCAGATTTTATTCTCTTTGGGAGAGGTGGTAAAGAACAGTGGATGAATGGCATAACATAGGGGTATTAATTGGGTATTAAATGTATCAATGTATAAATGCATCAGGGGTAATTATTGGGTATTAAATGTATCAACAGGGGAGCTAATGTTCCTTAGGTAGGGTCATTGCATGCTGTCTCCGCGTTGACTCTGGGTCTTGAAGTGGGTAGAATGTAATTATGTGTTATCTGGTTGTTGATTGCTGGCCTGAACTTCTTGATACGCAGTGCCTCGCTGATGTCCAATCTCCTGCTGTCGTTATACCTGTCGATTATTTCAGAGTTGCTTGTCAAGATGTCTCTGGTAATGATCTGGTTGTGTGTGCAGATTGTATGTTTCTTGATAGTGCCCTGTTGTTTGTACATTGTTAATCTCTTAGAGAGAGACGTTATTGTCTTGCCTATATACTGCGATCGTTGGGGCTGACAGTCCTCAAGTGGCATGTGAAGGCATAGACGATGTTAGTCTCTATTTAGGCGTTTTGCTTGGTGTCTGGAGAGTTTTAATATGCAAGTTGGTGGTCGTTTTGTTTTTGTAGTAAATTGTTAATTGCATATTCTGATTGATGTCTGTAGGGTTAACGTTCCTTTCAATAATATGTTTCAGGACTCTTTCTTCCATTTTATTAGTCGTAGAAAAGAAGTTGCTGAAAAACAATCTAATAGGAGGTACAGGTGTTGGTTAGTTCTTCAGAGGGTGCATGGCGTGTCACTTTCCTTTTAATGACGTCTTCAACAAACCGCTAGAGAAGCCATTATTGACTAAGATCTGCCTTACTTTACAATGTTTCTCGTTGACCTGCTTCCAACCAGAGCTGTGAGTTAGAGCTTGGTCGACGTAAGCATTGACAACACTCCGCTTGTACTTGTCCGGGCGGTTACTATTAGTATTATGGCACATTCCTATGCTTATTTCCTAGTGTAGACCTGCAGTATGAAAGAATCCATTTCTTTTCACGACTGTTACATCTAGAAAGGGCTGCTTCCCATTACTCTCCATCTCATAAGTGAAACCTAACACAGAATTTTGCTGGTATGCCTCCTTCAACTGCTGCAAACGTCCGACAGCAGGTACCTGCATAAATATGTCAACATACCTGCAGTATATGCCAGCTTGTAAGTCGATATCAACTAAGACTCTCTGATCAATGGTACCCATGTAAAAAATCGCAAACAGAACACCGAGGGGAGAACCCACTGAGACCCCATCCACTTGTTTATACATCTGCCCCTCGGGGCTCGAGAAGGGTGCATCTTTAGTGCAAGCTTCAAGTAACTTCCTCAGTATATTCTCTGGTATGTCTAGAGGGGAACAAACCAGATCACAATTAACTCTGTCCATCATCATCCTGATTGTTTTATCCTTGGGCATGTTAGTAAACAGCGACTGCACATCCAGAAAGGCTCTCATCCCTGTGGCCCGTGTTCCCAGCAATAAGTCAACAAATTCCTTTGGAGACTTCAGGCTGAAAGCACAAGGTACATAAGGAGTCAACAGGCATTTGAGTCACTTAGCCAGTCTGTATGTGGGTGTGGGTATCTGGCTGATGATTTACTGAAGTGGGTTGTCGGGTTTGTGGATCTTGACATTCCCATAAGCATAACCTTGTTTGTATTCACTGGTAACCATAGACAGGTGCAGTCCAGATTTCATGGCGATCATAGTTTCAATAAACTAGTTTACCTTCGTTTTCAATTCGGCTGTAGTGTCCCTCGTGACCCTTTGGAATTGAGTTTTTGTCAGACAGGATGAGGTATATTTTTGGCAGATAATCGTCTGTTTAAGAATAACGTATATTGGTGACTTGTCAC